TGGAAATTGGGTCCAAAAACTTCCCAGATTGTAATGGCAATGATTCGAGGGCAGCCACCATCTCCATCACGTCTTCATTAGAGGGTATGGCAAGGGAAAAATCATTCATGACGTGGGGGTGCATGGTCACTGCTTCATTGTTCTGAATGTCCATTTGTCGTGCAATGACCAATTCAAGTGCATCGTCATTCAATTGTTCAAAATGGTCCTGCGCCAAAGAAGCAAATACATCAATACAAAAACATAAGTGATCCTCACTAGGATACTTGATAAAATCAAAAAGATTGAAATTGATAAGTTCCCCATCAAATTTCATCGTCAAAGTTCCATTAAACACATCAATCTTAGTACGGTCAGTTTTCATGAATGGCCGTCCAAGGATGATGGGTAATGTAGGGGAGTGGTCCGACTCGTCCATTTCAAGCACGTAGAAATCCGCCGGAAAGATTAAGAGATTGACCTGCACTAAAACATCTTCCAAAACTTCCTTTGGATAAGCATTAGATCTATCGGCCAATTGTATAATCACACCATCCTTTTTCAATTTGCCTAAGTGCATAAATGCATAGATTGAATAAGGCATGACATTTATAGATGCACCTAAGTCTAACATGGCAGATTCAAAACGAGTATTCCCAATTACACAAGGAATGGTAAAACTCCTCGGATCCTTGCATTTAGTGGGCAGTTTACGCTGTAAAACAGTTGAGACATTTTCACTTACCTTGACAACCTCCTTGCTCGAAATTCTCTTCCTAGTTGTGCAAAGTTCTTTCAAAAACTTGGCATACCTTGGAACTTGCTTAATTGCATCCAAAAATGGTATATTGACTTGAACTTTTCTAAACGTTTCCAAAATATCCTTTTCAGCCTCCTCTTTCTTTGATTACATAAACCTACGAGGAAATGGTACATTTGGAGAAACAGCGTTAGAATTAATCAAAATTAGAACTTTCTTACCTTTGTTGGCCGAATTGGATGGTTTAAGAGCTTTTGGGGCATGCGGCAAAGATGTTTCCACCCTTGCCGTGGGGGTGCTTTGCTCCTCCTCTTCAATTATCAACTCTTCAACCTCGTTGGAACGTGAATTGGACGGTTGGGGATCAGATCCAACTTGTTTTCCACTTCACAAACTCATGGCTTTTGCATATTCGAATCCTCTCTTCGGGTTGACAACGGTCAAAGTAGGCAACTTACCTTGCTCTCTGAATTGTCCTACAAACTCTGCAATTTGCCCAATTTGCTTTTCCATTTGGTCCACCCTTTTGTCTTGGTTATGCATTGCTTTGGCTTGATTTTCTTGCCCCTAAGACAAATTGGTAAGTAACTTAAGAAGTGTGTCATTATCTAAAGATGTACCTGAGGTGTTTTGGGCAGGTTGTTGTGGGGCTTGTGTTGGTGCGTATTGCTTGGTATAGAAGCCCGGAGGTTGCTGCCTAAAGCCTCCTTGTTGTTGGGGTTGTTGGGGCTCCCTCCACTTGAAATTTGGATGGTTTCTCCAACCTGAATTGTACGTATTAGAATATGGATTGTTCCTTGGCTGGTTGTGGCCTTGAAATTCAATGCATTGGCGCTTTCCCATCCACCATTTTCAATCAATTGAGCGCACTTTCAGAGGCATTCCTTGGATAGAAACACACCACATACACTTGGTTCTTTCATCCTCATTCCTTCGGCCATCTGAGACACAATGGAAGTAAGATTAGCTAACTGCGATTGAATGTCGGATGTGGAACTTACCTCATTCACTTGCTGCCGTGGGGTGTCCCTTTGACCAACGCCTTCATATTATTGAGCATTCAATGCTTGGTTAGCAATTAAGGTCTTGGCAGCCATGGGTGTTTTGTCTACCAAAGCTCCTCCCGCTGAGGCGTCTAGCATTTGGCGTTCAATTGGTAGAAGCCTTTCGTAGAAATATTGAAGAAGAAACCCCTCTTTCATCTGGTGTTATGGACATGAAGCAATAAGGGTTTTAAAACACTCATAGTAAGTGGGAAAGGATTCACCTTGGTTTTGTTGAATGCCACTAATCCTTTTGCGTAGTAGAATGACTCGAGAAGTTGGAAAAAACTTCTCCAAAAATGCCTGTTTCAACTTTCCATATGATGTGACAGTTCCGGGGGCTAGCTCATACAACCAATCTTAACCTTTCTAAGAGAGAAAAGGGAAAGCCTTCATTTTTCAAAATGCTCCCATCAACATTCACAGGGGGTCATGCTTGAACAAACAACTCGAAATCCTTCAAGTGTTTATTAGGATCTTCCATGGACATCCCGTGGAACTTAGGAATGTGATGCAACAAACTTGATTTCAATTCGAACTCGTCTATCTTCCCTAGGGAAACCAGGGGGTATTGGATGCATAGGGGAGCGGCATTGTCCAATCCCGAAGCGGAAAGCTCCTTGATTGTTCGATTGTCTGCTGCCATGTTGGGATCTTCCTCTTTTTCTTCAAGTGGATGTTCTTCAAACTCAGGTTCAGGAATAGGTGCGTTACGATCTTGCTGATTCCTATTCCTTCTCAAAGTCCTCTCAAAATCATCGTCAAAGTCCAAGATATGCTCACGAATCGGATGAGAACTCCGAGTCATAAACTAGTACCTAAAACAAGAAAACAAACAAGGTCAATAACTAACATAAAAACACACGAAAATAAACAAAAAAGAAATAACAAGGGATTAGCAATGCTAATCCCCGGCAACGACGCCAAAAATTTGATGCGAAAATTACTTAACACACAAATTAAACCCTCTTGTATCAATTGTAGTAAAGAATGTAAGTAGGGATCGTTCTGGACCGGAGATTAGGATGGCTTGCTAATAACCTCTAAACTGACTTAAAAACATATAAACAAAGTTAAAAACACTAAACTAACTCAAAGAATTCAAAAAAAAAAAACTCAAAGAACTCAAAAATAGTTTAAAAGACTCAAAACAGCTTTAAAACAATGAATTAGACTCTAAACTGACTCTAGGATAGTTTTGGATGAAATTAGGTTCTAACTTGACTCAAGACACTTAAAAACACAATCAACACATATTTTGACGAATAAAACACTTTAAAGTAAAGGGGGACTTGATTTTGACGAATTTGAAAACAAGACAAACAGATTGTAAGCTAAAAACAGATTTTGGACGAATTTGGGTAAACTATGGATGGTGGGCTAGCTAGAGGGTTCTTCTCCACACATGACACACTTGCACATAAACCAATTTTCAGTTGTTCTTTCGATGAATCATGAAACTCAACACCCCAGGTTAATTAAGTCCACTTAAATTAACCTTCAAGCTCTCCTTAAGTTATTGAATTGGATGGGAAAGCGCATACAATAATTCAAGCATTCTTCAAAAATCCTTTACGTGAACAGCACAATAAAGATACAATCAAAGATCATTAAGTATTATGAAAACTATAAGTATTGACGAAGCATTCGTTACTATGATGAGCATGAAACTCTTGCCTAAAATTCATTTAACGCAATCGTTTATAAGCAACCTCCACTACTTGTGAATATAAGTTTGTAACTATTAGGTGAAACTCCCTTATACTCTAGCATCATATTCATGCATGCAAACTAATTGTGCACTCTTAATAAACATACATGAATAAGTTAACAATCAAGCAGCAACAAATTGAATTCACAACTTATGAAATCACAACTGAAGGTAATCAATTCATATTGCAAGTATGTTCATGGCTTTGAATTTCCCCTAGCTAAGGGGGGGTTTAGTTACTCATAATTGCAACAAAATCAGAAAATAACAAAGTAGATATTGAAAGCAAGAACGAAGTACACCTAAAACGCTCCAAAGTTTCAAGCTTGAAATGCCAAGGACCTTCATTTTCACCACCTTGTTGCAGCACAAGTATCTAAGGATGTGTATGGATTTATGGAAAGGTTATGAATATATTTAGGTTGGATGGATGCCACGGCAAGGGGAAGGGAATGTATGGATTTGTGTTTGATTTTTGGTTGGATGAGTGCCACGGCAAGGGAATGGAATTTTATGTGTTTGTGGGATGTGGGAATATATGGATGAATGTAAGGTGCTCATGGCTAGGGAATTGGATTTTGGTAAGGGTGGATGTATTTGTAGGCTAGGGAGATGAGTGTATGGAGTTGTAATGAGTGGATGTAATGGGTGTAGTGGGTGGATGAGTAGTTGTGGGTCACGGCTAGGGAATGGAATAATGGCTGAATGTGTTTGTGAATGTGGGAATGTGGCTGCCCATGCCGTGCCTTTCCTTTGCCCATGTGTGTATATTTCCTTTGCCCATGTGTGTATATTTCCTTTGCCCATGTGTGTGTGTTTCCTCTTACATTTGCACACACATGTTCTTCATCATTTCAGCCACCAATCCACCCATTTTCTGCCAATGCCAAGCTATCCATGTGTGTGTGTTTCCTTTTGCCCATTTGTGCGTGTTTCGTTTTACATTTGCACACACATGTTCTTCATCATTTCAACTACCAATCCACACCTTTTCTGCCCATGCCAAGCTGTCCATGTACTCATCATTTCCACTCCTTCATTCTTTATTTTCTGCTGCCCATGTGTGTGTGTTTCCTCTTACATTTGCACACACATGTTCTTCATCATTTCAGCCACCAATCCACCCATTTTCTGCCCATGCCAAGCTGTCCATGTGTGTGTGTTTCCTTTTGCCCATGTGCCGTGCAGTTTGCATGTGTGTGTATGCATGTTGTCTTTGCATGTGCACACACATGCTCTTCACCATTTCAGCCCAAAATCAACACATGTACATACACACATGCTGATTTCCAGCCTTCTAATCTTCAAAAACGTCTATCCTCATGTCTCCATCCTTGCACTATCCAATCTTGGCTAAAAAATGCTCCAAAATGCACTTTCTTGCCAACTTTGTTATTAGGACCTACAAACACACGAAAATAGCTTTAAAATGCATAATTGACTAAGAATTAACAACATAAATGCACAAGACCAAGCTAACTAAGCCGCATAAATATGCTCCTATCAGTGGGCGGCGATGCCGAACAACAACATGGTAGGGAAGGCGATCAAGGACCCTGCGAAGCTGAAGATCATAGCGTTGAATTCGAGGAGGTACACGGGCCCACCGAGGGTGGGGATAGTGAGGAAGACCACTAGGATGTGCAAGTACGTGCAGGACAATTTCTCGCGAGTGATGGCGCCGTTTTTGACAGTGCACGGGACGGCGGACGATGTGACGTGTCCGACGTCGTCGCAGCTGCTGTACGAGAAGGGATCGAGTCCGGACAAGACTTTGAAGATGTACGATGGATGTACCATTCGTTGATACAAGGGGAGGCGGACGAGAACGCTGAGATTGTATTGAGGGATATGCAAGAGTGGATTGACGAAAGAGTTGGGAGGTATGGTGGGCCCAATATTTGAATCAAAAGAACAATATCTTTCTTATCCTAAAATACACCTTATATATTGACACGATACGTATTTAGAGAAATGCTAAGAGGCTTTCTTAAAAGTGAGATTTTCTGTCACTGTATGTTTTTGGATAATAGTATAATATTAATACGAAAATATGAGGTGACAAAAAGTTGATGACCATTTTGAGTCTCCTTAGCATTTCAAATGTACTTTAATTATCAATTAAATAGCTAACTGATTTGATGGGAGATAACGAGTTTCAAACTCTTCAACAACAATATGTCATATGTACATTAATGGTCATTCCAACAAGACTGATTTTCCTGGTATGTACAAGTACAACGACTTGATTCGTAGTCAAAAGACTTATCGAATATGAATACTAACGTACACACTAGCGATTTACACTATTTTGTTGGAGGCCAATTGCTAATTGCCAATTTTGAAATTCGATGTAAGCATTTTTTGGAACATCCCATCAAATTGATAATGTAAGAATTAAGTCTTGAATAATTCATGTATTCATTCATACTTGTAATTAACATGCGTCTAACAAAAAATAAAATAAACTCGAGGGAGAAAAGACAATCAAATTGAAATAATGCGTAAAAATAATCAAATTGAGAAATTTCCTCATTCATCGACATACAACAGTTTAATTAGAAGTCAGAAAAGCAATTTCTATCGCAATCTTGTCTAATAGCATTACCTAGCTACCCCACGCTAGCGATTGATTTACAAATGCTGCCTATGTCAATGACCATGAAGTTCAGATTATTTGGCACATTTGAATGGATTGATATGTAAGAATCAAACCATGAACAATTAACGTGTTATACTTGTTAACCTAAAAGATAAAATAAACTCGAGGGGATGAAAACAATCAATCTGGCCATAAAAACAGAGGTATTTTGAAATACCTCATTTCGTTGAAAGGTTATATGGAAATTGGAATCATGGATGCAGTTTGCAATGGACACCAACCTTCGAACCCGAAACCCAGACGAATAAGGCTTGCCACTTATTCACTAGGTCAGGAAGAAGGCTGGTACTTCTATGTGTACATGAAATGAATTTAACAACCTTTTAATCATTTGGGTTCAAAATGTTCTCTCTGGTCTCTACAAAATAAGACACAGTACATGGACTATTTCAGCAAGAATAGTAATTTAGTTTAAGATCACTCTGGGTGTTACGGGATGGGATGGGGCAGTTTATAGCACAGGAGGGTATTGGGTCTGCTCTTCAAGTCGAATTTGAGGCTATCGTGGAGAAACTTCAGTTGGCAGGGAGGTTGCAGATTAGACGGGTTATTGTGGAGAGTGACTATACGCTTGCTATTGTTACTATCAATAACTACTTCTCGGATTTGTCCGGGTTTGGTTTACTAGTGGAGGATGTCAGGTTTGTGGCGGAGTTAGTTTCCCCGTGTACATGTGCCAAGATCTTGTAATGGGGTTACCCATAGATTAGCTAAGTTTTCTATTTCCATTGGTAATGAATTTGTATGATTAGAGAATCCTCCTAATCTCATTCAGGATCTCCTCAGCCAAAATATTATGTAGTGCGTTGTTATCAATAAAATATCGTTGCTTATCATTGTACACAAATTTTTCGGCCTACTATAGGATTTTAATTACTGGTACTAGACTCAATTTTTCGACCCAATGTGGAAAGCCTATGCAGATATGAATATTATTTGACAAGAATGAAGGTAGGTACATTTATGTGTAAAAGAAATGTATTTGACAAGACATTTCTTTCAATCATTTGATTTCGGTTCGGAGTAGGATTGTCTTCCCTCTTTTTTCCCCTCCCATTCCCTCTTCTCTTATTTCAGTGATCACGAATCACGATTAAATCACGTCAACATCTTATATTAATTTTTTTATAGTAACATAAAACAATCAATCTAGCATAAAACAGAGGTATTTTGAAATACCTCATTTCATCGACAGGGTTTAGATATGGGTGCATGTTTGCTTCCACGTTCACCATCCGAAAGGACACCAACCTTCGAACCCGAAACCCAGAGGAGTAATGCTTGGCATTCATCCACTAGGCTGGGACGGAGGCCGGTACATTGATGTGTAAAAGAAAATGGATTTAAGGGATTTTCATTTGGGTTCAAATATCCTCTCTACAAAATAAAGATACAGTACTTGGAGTAGTTCAGCAAGAATAGTAATTTAATTTAGGGTTAATTTCAGTTTACTACCTTAAAGTTTATTGGTTTTCAATATTTGGTACATGAAGTTTTTTTCATCCTAGAGTGGTATATAAAGTTATAATTTTATGACATTTTCATACATCCGTTAAGGTTGCTGTTAAATTTGCCGTTAACTGATGACATGACATCCACGTGGACAATGACTGGGCACTACGTGGATATAAAATAATAATAAAATAATAAAAACTAAAAAAAATTAAAAATACTTTTAGGCATCTTCTTTCTCACCCCTTCCGACCCCCCTTCTTTCTCTCCTCTGCACCCCCCTTCCCGCTCCCTCTTCAACTCCACCCACTTCATTTCTCTCTCTCTTTCTCTCTCTATCTTTCTCTTTCCCTCCCACATCTCTCTCCATCAATGGCCTCCTCCAAGTTCACATCTCTCCTAAACCCTATCAGGCTCTGGATCTCCTCTTGGACCCCCGTCTTCGCCCGTTTCTTCGGCCCAGCAGCACCGCCTAGACCACCTCCTGCTCTGCTGCTCACAGCCGCACACAATTCCTGCTCCTCCCCCTCGCCACCGCTGCTCTACTGCTGCTCTCGTTCGTTTTGGTTTTGGTGGTAAGGTGGCGCTCTCCCATTCACCGCCGCCACCTCCATCATCATCTCTGTCTCCGTTTCTTAGACTAGTCCTTCTCCCTTTTATAAGTCAACGGTGCGGGGCTTCTACGAGAGGTACATGTTAGATTGCAACTGGCTGGGGTTTAAAGGTGTAAGGGAGTGGATTGGCATGTGGGTGTAATAAAGATACAGTACTTGGAGTAGTTCAGCAAGAATAGTAATTTAATTTAGGGTTAATTTCAATGTACTACCTTAAAGTTTATTGATTTTCAATATTTGGTACATGAAGTTTTTTTCATCCTAGAGTGGTACATAAAGTTATAATTTTATGACATTTTCTTACATCCGTTAAGGTTGCTGTTAAATTTGCCGTTAACTGATGACATGGCATCCACGTGGACAATGACTGGGCACTACGTGGATATAAAATAATAATAAAATAATAAAAATTAAAAAAATTAAAAATACTTTTAGGCGTCTTCTTTCTCACCCCTTCCGACCCTCCTCCATTCTCTCCTCTGCACCCACCCTTCCCGCTCCCTCTTCAACTCCACCCACTTCATTTCTCTCTCTCTCCCTCCCACATCTCTCTCCATCAATGGCCTCCTCCAAGTCCACATCTTTCATAAACCCTATCAGGCTCTGGATCTCCTCCTGGACCCACGTCTTCGCCCGTTTCTTCGGCCCAGCGACACCGCTTGGACCACCTCCTGCTCTGTTGCTCACAGCCGCACACTATTCCTGCTCCTCCCCCTCGCCACCACTGCTCTACTGCTGCTCTCGTTCGTTTTGGTTTTAATGGTGAGGTGGCGCTCTCCTATTCACCGCTGCCACCTCCATCATCATCATCTCTGTCTCTGTTTCTTGGACTATTCCTCCTCCCTTTTATAAGTCAACGGTGCAAGGCTTCTACGAGAGGTACATGTTAGATTGCAACTAGCTGGGGTTTTAGGGTGTAGGGGAATGGATTGGCATGTGGGTGTAGCAGATAATAGAGAGCGAAGGAGGAAGACAGGACAAAGGACAAAAGAGAAAAAGAAATGGAGTGGGTGGAGTCGAAGAGGGAAGGGGAAGGGTGGGTGCAGAGGAGAAAAGGAAGGTGGGTCAAAAGGGGTGAGGGAGAAGACGCCCTAAAGTTTTTTTTTTTTTTTTTGAGGTATTCATCAATTCCCCCTGAACTTGTGACCATTGGTCAATTTCCCCCCTCAACTTTAATTTTGGCCAATTTCCCCCCTCAACTCTCATAATTAGTCAATTTCCCCCCTCAACTTTAATTTGGCCAATTTCCCCTCTTAACTCTCATAATTAGTCAATTTGCACCCTACTGTTAATTTTTTTTAATTTTCCATCTGTTCTTTTTTTTTCTTTCAATCTTTCTAATAACTTCCAACAAAGTACTAAAATTAACATAAATTCACCTGCATAATATAGGGTAAAATGTACAAAAACATAATACAATTAGTATGTGATATGGGTTGATTACAAGAAAAAGTTATGAATCGGGTTTAAAGCATGTAGAAGAAGAAATAATAATCCTAAACTCGTGGATCAGACCTATTTCAATAAAATGGGTTATTCTTAATAAGGAGTCGAAAATTATGAATTGACTAGCCATTTTTGCACTAAAGCTCGATTCTCCGCAATTTACTTGAACTTAGCTTTCACTTTTATAAAGAAAATTGTATTCACATACAAAAATGTACACATCAATCCTTTTCGTTATCAATTTTTTATAGTAAAAATCAAATAAAATTACTCCATACTGATTTATTATGACTAATAATACTATCTATGATATATTGTAAAATTCTAAATTTTAATCTATTTGTAATAGGATAAAGACATAGGAAAATGATTAACATACATCTTATTTAGTTTCTTACACACACTTGTTTAATTATGATCAAATTAAAAAATTAACAGTAGGGTGCAAATTGACTAATTATGAGAGTTGAGGGGGGAAATTGGCTAAATTAAAGTTGAGAGGGCAAATTGACTAATTATGAGAGTTGAGGGAGGAAATTGGCCAAAGTTAAAGTTGAGGGGGGAAATTGGCCAATAGTCACAAGTTCAGGGGGGAAATTGATAAGTACCTCTTTTTTTTTAATTGTTTTAGTTTTTTTTTTAATATCCACATGGTGCCCAGTCATTGTCCACGTGGATATCATGTCATCCGTTAACATCAAATTTAACAACAACCCTAACGGATGTATGAA